AGATGGAAAATGGAAAACATTCCTATCCTTGTATCCCAGGGAAAGTGTTTCTCATTTACTTCTTTTTTTTTTAATTGGAGGATAACTGTTTTACAATGTTGTATTAGTAATAGTTTCTGCTGTACCACAAATGAATCAGCAGGGAATTGGTGGCTCAGTGATAAAGAATCTGCCTGCCAATGTAAGAGAAGTGGGTTTGATCCCTGGGTCAAGAAGATCCCCTGTAGAAGGAAATGGCAAACCACTCCAGTATCTTGCCTGGAAAATCCCATGGACAGATGAGTCTGGCAGACTACAGTCCATGGGGTTGCAAAGAGTCAGACACAATTTAGAGACTAAACAACAACACACATATATTCCCTCTCTCTAGAGCCACCCTCCCACTCCACCCCCAACCCACCCCTCTGGGTCATCACAGAGCACGGAGCTGAGCTCCTTGTGCTATAATAGCAGCTTCCAACTAGCTATCTATTTTACACATGGTAGGGTACATATGTTTTATTTCTATGTAAACAACAAAACATACAAATATGGTGATACTGATACCCAAAGCTGGCAGTGTAGAAGTGAAACTCATACACTCATTCCTTGCTGATGGCAGTACTTACACTACAAACTCTTCAGAGAATTATTTATAAAGATGTCTTAAAAGCTGTATTAACAAAATTCTGCAAAGAAACTATCCTTCAATTAAAAAGTAAATAAATTTTTTTAAAAAGCAGTATTCACACTCTTTACTGTGACTCTGCTTTTGGGAATTTACTTTAGGGAAATATTTCAAAGCACAGATGACGCTATAGAGACAAAATATGCTTTCACTGTATTTACAATCCTTAAAAAAATGGAGAGATTAAACACATCCAACAATAGAGGAATAAATAGTAAACTGTAACAATACAACTCCATGAAAAAGAATGTAGGTATATTAAAAATTATGGAGTTTGAAATGGAAAAATATAGCATATGTTATTAATGGCTATGGAAAAATAAATGTGGATGCTACAATATGTGAAACTATTAAAAGCAAATGCACATGTTTGTACAGTTTGTTTTCTGGAACAATACTGAACAGACTTGAGGTCTGTTTAGCAGGGGAGGAGGAAATGGAAGATCTACCTTGAGTTTAAACCTTTCCATATAATGAGAACCTACTGTGTAGCTCAGGGAACTCTACTCAGTACTCTGTGGTCACCTAACAGGAAGGAAATCCAAAAAAGAGGGGATATATGTGTACTTACAGCTGATTCACTTCCCTATACAGTACAAACTAACACAATATTGTAAAGCAACTGTACTCTAATAAAAATTAATAAATAAACCTTTCCATAGGGTTAAAAAAAATTTCACTGCATATGCATGAATTCCTTAAAAAAATTAAATAAAATGTGCAACCCCACTCCTCCCAGGGGACTATGTTATAAGCAGAATATGAAACTAATTAGGCCAAAGTTACAACTACATAAAAATGTTCTTGGGGACAACGAACATACAAATGAAAACATTTAAAAGTTCCCTCCCCTTCCTCCTATTTTAGTTACCCAGAGTGTTGAATCCTCTACCAGCAGACAGATATTTACTCTACCCATCCAGGAGTCTAAGAGGAAAATGGTCACAACCACTCCTTGACCTTGAGGTCTAGGAGTCTGTGGAAACTTTCAAAGCAAATATTTTCAAAGTTTTGAAAACGCTCCCCATTCCAGAAACTCTCCTCATCTTTGAAGAGACCACACACAGGGCTCTGCAGTCTCTGCAGTCCCAAGGAAAGACACTTTCTGTTAACAGGATCCGGTGAGTGCTGATGACTCTGGAACCTGGCCCAGGCCTGGGCCTCCTACACTGAGTCCAAGGTCAGAAAAAACAATACTGGCAACACAGGTGAAAGACCACGATGAGAGGGGATAGAGCCAGCACTGAACCTACAGCAGCCCACAATTTATCAGAGCCTTGGTATTTACACAAGTGACCCTGGCAACCAGGCCCCAGTCAGGTATGACTATGTTCTGTGAAACACTAACATGATTACTGAGAGTGGAATTTTACTTTCGTTAGCACCAAAGATGTTCCGAGGACAGAGTGACTAATCTCAGAACGGGTGATTAAGTAAATGTCTGCAGACAGCACCACAGCAACCAGGATATCTAAAGAAATAGGAGGAACTTGCTGCAAACAGATCTCACAGGACAGAAAAGGAAGGCTGAGAAAAACGCAGCCCTGAAATCATAGATATAAGGGTGAACTTAGTAACAAGAAGCAGAGAAATCTATTCAGTTACGAGTATATTCTGGACTTCATTGTGACTAGATCTAAAGGATGGGGAAAAGGATTGAGTCACCATTATTTATCCTCTGAAGTAACTGTCATCCAAAACACCACATGGTTGATGACCCAAGAGTCACCTCCTTTCCTATCCAACTACATGACTGAATTCAGTTCACCAGGAGCAAACTTTAGATAGAGTCAACTACACAGGGCTAAAGGAAGCTACAAATTAGAAAGAGGGTGGTGTCTGTGTCTTTTTTAATGATATGATGAAAGTGGGTGGCTGGGAAAGACACATGAGCCTAACTGATTGAAGGAAACCATCTCCCAGGTCAGGAAAGCCCAGATATGCCCTCTGGTTCTCTTACCTTAATTGCTATGTTGTTGGATTCAGTAGCACCGCTAGTGAAAATGATCTCACGAGGATCAGCCCCAATCAGAGATGCTACTTGCTGCAAGTCAAGACGAGAAGCAGAAATAAGGAGCATCAGTTTCCTCAGCAAGAATGGGGCTGTGGTGACAACTAAGACAGAGGTCTGGAGCAAGAAGAGCTCCACTGCAATCTGTCAACTGCTCAAGAAGCAGTTCTGTACCCACTAGGATCAGACAAAGGGATATATTCAACTACATCCCAGATCCAATTAATAACAACTTTGGTGTTTTTGAAAAAGCATTTACTGAGTTCTTAATATGCACAGGCATCATGTCAACAAACATATCACTAGTATTGTCTGATTTAATCCACCCCAAAACCTTAAGGAGTAGGAACTACTATAATCTCCATTTTCTTCTGGACATGTCACCCAGCTTGCTGGATCTTAGGTCACAGAACAGGGATCAAATCCAGACCCCCATGAGCAAAAGCCCGGAATTCTAACCACTGGACTCCCCTCAACCTCCATTTTCAACATGAGGAAACTAAAGCTTCGAGAAGTCAGATAATGAGATAACAAAGGTCAGTTAACCAGGAAATGTGGAAACTAATTGAATGCCTTCAGAGGGACTCCAAAGGCCTAGTCTTTGAATCTCTTGTTGAGAGAGCCCCAACCCATTTCCACCTTCACCCTCAGCTACAAAAAAAAAAAAAAAAAAAAAAATGCCACCCACAGGTCACTGAAACCTCTGACATCAGAACTTCCTGGAGTCCTCTGTACTAACCTGGCGAGCACATTCCATGGCAGCCTCACTTTCCCAGCCATAAGCATGTGTTCGGGAGTGTGGGTTTCCATAGTAGTTGACCAGGTAAGGGAGCATGGCATCAAGCACCCGAGGGTCCTGGAGAAAACAGAACAGATGATTCTCCTTGAGCCCACAGTTAACTTGGGCCCCACTCCATCCCCTGACCTAACCAACCTGCCTCAACACACCCCCAATCCTTCAGACCCTGCCTAAATTAGGCCTCAAACATTCTTCCACCCCCCCAGGTGCTAACCAAATGTTAGCTTAATACACTCTCCTCCCAATCCGCTTAAATCAGATTATTCTACCATCTCGTCAGATAATCTACAAACACTACTTTTTCCTGACAGTTGTGTCTGTAGGTGTTTTCATTGCCAAGCAATGTGATATCTAGGAGAGGATGTTGATGAAAACGTGCATTAATATTCCAGAGCTCATCATGCGCCAAGCACTATTTTAAGGGCTGCTTTATATCTTTTAACCTATTTAATTCTTGCCCAAATGCATACAGTAAGCAATGGTCCGGTAATTCCAGAACCTATGCTTTTAACTACTAGGCAAGTGCCAGCAATGAAGTGATTTGACCAAGATCAATAGCTAGTAAGCAGTAAAGACACTTGTAGTGAACTACAACGTAAGCCTCCAGTCTCCTGGCTCATTGCTCTCCCAGAACACACTTCTCAGTGGCTCCCACTCCTGCAGGGATTCAGCCATTTCTGTGCATTGCCACTTCTACACTATAACTCCACTAAACAGTTCAGGGAAAGCTGCCCCTCCATCCTTACCAGAGGAGTTGTAGCTTGCACATCCATGTACAGAGGTCGCAGCACTGACTCCGCCTCCAGAGCAGTGGCTGCATCAGAGGGAACAGCAGACTGGGGAGTAAGGTCTATACCTGACAAAAAATGGAACGGAAGGGACAGGTGAGAGAGGATGCAACTCTACACACAGGGAATCCCAGACAACAGAAAGGAAAGGCTGGACGGAGGTGACATAAGTTTAAGAGATGCTGAGCGAATCTCAACGCAAAAGGAAACAGAACACCAAAAAAGTTAAGCAAACTGTAAAAAAGAGGTAAGGGAGAGAGACAGGGTTCTTAAGGTAGGGTGCTGAGACAACATTCAAATTGCGTCGTTGGAGTGCGGAAATCTCCGAAAGGGCAAAGCCCCTGAGAAGGAAGGTGGAGACGGTAGGTAAGATCTCCTTCAAAACAAACAAACAAAAAGATCTCCTTCAAAGGTTACTGGCTGGACCACTAGAATCTCTACAATTGGGTCAGGAGAAATCCGATGGCCGAATTTTAGGGCTCTGCGGGCCTGCGGGGCTGGATGTGAAGTGCGGGAGCGGGGGTTGCGACGAAATCAACGGTTCAGAGCGCCAGTATGAGAAAATCTGAGGGGAGCAGTCAGGAGGAAGGGTCAGAGGGTCTGAGTAGCGGAAGAGGGAGGCTCCTGAACATGCAGGTAAGTCGCCTAGCCCAGGAGAAAGTTCCGCGCCTCCAGGGAGGTGGCAGTGAGCAGACCCCCGAGCGTACCGCGCAGGCGCAGCCCCCGAGTAGGCGCCTTGGCCCTCGGCCCCGGAGCCGCGGGCGCGGCCGTGGCCACCCGCCTCCAAGCGGTTCGCAGCAGCATGGTCCCGGTGGCAGACCCCCCGCCCGAAGTGGCTACAGTCCTCAGCTACAGGATCCCGGAAGTGCTACTCCGCGCCCCGGAAGCACTTCCTCAGATCTCGAGTGCGTTCTAGCTCGCATTCCGTGTAAGACGTAGATCTGAGCGACCGAAGCCACGAACGAGGTGAGGTGGGGGCACCGTGGCGCGGGGACTCGAACGCACAGAGGGTGATGGAGTCGGGCTACACCCTTATTTTCTTTCTCGGATTTCCCAGAACCCCTGGGCCAGTTCCCTATCCCACCTCCTCTGGCCCCTGCTGGAGTCTCGGGCTGGCGGCTAGGCCCGCACTTCCCTAACCTTCGAACCCCGCAGATGCCGGTGGCCGTGGGTCCCTATGGACAGTCCCAGCCAAGCTGCTTCGACCGCGTGAAGATGGGCTTCGTGATGGGTTGCGCCGTGGGCATGGCGGCGGGGGCGCTCTTCGGCACCTTTTCCTGTCTCAGGTGAGGGGCGCGGACGGTAATCTCTAGAGACTACCTATTTTCACAGCCCACAGCTTTCGGCCTACAGCCCGAATAGAGCCTACTACTTTCCAATTCTGTCGCTGCCCTGTAACGAAGGAGAATGTTTTCCTAATCACCTTCAGTCTAGGAGGACTGATATAATCTAAATGTTTGAGAATACAAGCTCTGATTCGGACTGCTTTCTGGCCCTTATTCTGTAACCTTAGGCAAGTTGGAGCCTGGGTTTCAACTAGAAATGAGGTCAGTAAACCTCTACATCATGTAGAATTCTAAGTTCAATTCAGACCACACTTAACAGAGAACCTGGCACATATTAAGTGCTCAATAAATGGCTGTTCTGTTTTACTCCCATTAGGCGCATGGCGAAACAAACAATTTTACTGCACTGGGAACAGAATGCAGAAATTAAGCAGATAAACTCTACACTCTAATTTTCACACATAAAAGACGCTATTGTTCCTGATAAATTATCGTTTACTGAGCGTTTACTGTGCTGAATGCCCTGTTATCACAACGCTGCTGTGAATGTTAAGAGCCTCATTATACACGACAGCCTGTAAACTGCACTTAGTTCTTAACCCCAGGTCTGACCCCCCCCCCAATCATTGTTTTAACACTAGGAGACCATCTAAAAAACGTTGTATTGGATCATGTATACCCTGAAGGCAAAACCAGCACCCAAAAATGATTTCCCTGTTTTTGTACTTTATACTGCTTCTGTTGCCTCCCACAAACCCGTCAGTTGCCTAGAGATCCTAATGGATCTTTTTCTTAGCATTACTCACTCCATGTGGCAAGAGATAATGTCCTGCCAGACTTCAGCAGTGCTTGATTATAAATTGGAAAGGGGCAGTTAATACTCTTCCCTGTATTGTTGTTACCAAGTGGCCGCATCTTGGTTTCCTCCTCCCTCAGGATCGGAATGCGGGGTCGGGAGCTGATGGGCGGCATCGGAAAAACCATGATGCAGAGTGGCGGCACCTTTGGCACATTCATGGCCATCGGGATGGGCATCCGATGCTAATCAGGGCAGTGTTTGCCCACAACATGCACCCCCTCCCATCAGTTCCATCCCATGTGTACTATAATAAAGCAAGTCTTTGAGTATTCAGAGTTTCTGTTTAGAAGCATTTTTTCCTCTCACAGCCTATTACCCAGCTTGCTTAAAGATCTTCGGAGGTGGGCTGAGGTTTCGTTTCTTGTTTCACAAGAGCTTTCTCTGTTAATCCAAACTTGGAATGATTTATCATGCATTAAGACTTTATGAAAAGTATGATTCTTGTAAATCATTATTTAGCCCTTTAAGGGTGATGCTATTAGTTTCTCACCTTTAAAATGTTAAGTCTCGATTTCCTCAAGGTCACACTACAAGATTAACCAGCTTTATTTCCAGTGCTATTACGTTGTATACCCAAATATTGTCTTTCAGATATGACTTGATCAGAAAAAGAACAAATTCAAACCACTTTTATAGCCTCAAAACTTCAGATGGCACTAGTGGTCAAGAATCCACCTGCTGTTGCAGGAGACATGAAACAGGTTCCTGGGTTGGGAAGACCCCTTGGAGGAGGGCCTGGCAACCCACTACCCTACTCTTGCCTGGATGATCCCATGGACAAACCCCCCCCCCCCTCCCCGAGTTTGCAGCCGGCCATGACTTAAGCAACTCGCACAGCTCACAGCTTGTCTCAGATGATTTTCTAACCAGCCGTCAATGAGGATGTAAACTTATCAGCTGACTCTTCCTCCTTTTAACTGGCTTAAGGCAGTTTCTCCATCATGAGAAGTGCTCTTCACCTGTACAGGCAACATATTCCTTGACACTGTTGAGTTGCCCCTCAAGTGTTTTCATTAATGGTGGAACTACCCTGGGTGTCTGTGGTTAAGACTCCACACTCCCAGTACTCAAGGCATAGGCTCAATCCCTGGTCCAGAACTAAGATGCCTCACTGCACAGCCAAAAAAACCCAGAAATTAAAAAGCCAATAAAAAATGGTAGTTAACTACTGTTTTGATTAAATACATGAAGTTACCTTTGCTGGCTCAGTTCCCTAGAAGCAATCCTGCCAGTACTTGATTCAAGTATAAAATCAATTACAAAGATACTGGGAGATAGTTTGGGGAAAAAAAGTAAGTTTTCATATAAGTCTCTGCCACCCAAAAACTGCTCCATGTTCAAAAATAAATATAGATCTTGAATTTTTTCTCCAGGTTAAATAATTGAAATTACAAACATGCCTCAAAAGGGTTGGTAGGAAACTGTGATGCCTCCAAAGTCAAACCAATTATCTTGATACCTGATTAGATTTTTTAATACTTGTCCTTCATCCCTAACAATTTTAAGGGTTTAGAAATCGGAAGGAGTATTTAGGAGTAGCATCACCTACTTCAGATTCAATTTAGATAGAAAAACTTGAAGCAGAATTCTGAGTATTAATTGGGGAGGGTTGCTGCCCAAGTGAAATTAAAGCTCAAAACTACAGTTAATTTGGGAAACCAGTTTGAATTTACCCAATTATTTACTTTTAAATAATGAAGCCCGCCTGACCAAAGATGCCCAGGCAACACAGGAAAAACTTAATGCCCTGGTTTGTGGCCTGGGCAAACCTGTTTGGGTTTTCTTTATATCATAAATCCTTCAATTTTTATACAATATCCTAAATAACAAGTGTACTAAAACTATACAGAGGAATGTAGAGGGTCAACTCAAGGACAACAGTTTCACTTAAGTTCTGAAGAATCAACTAAAAAAGTCAAAGAAACTAATAGTCTATTGTAATCTCCAAGTTTCTATGACTTTAAAATGTCTCAAAAATGAAGATTTCTTGTGGCCTTTTTAAGAGAATTTTATTTGAGTGGTTCTTACAAAGATTGTTGCAATATGAAAGTCATTTGTTTGATAGAAATATCAAGCTGTCTTGTCAAACACACTGAAGTAACCCAAAAATATATTTCAGAGCTCACAGAGCTTAAAAAGAGCAAAGATTATATGCAACCAGACAAAACCTATTTCTGCATTTCCTATTTCTTGCTCAGACTGCTTTGCTTACCAGACTGTCACTAAACATCTTGAGGAAATGCAGGGATCATTTTGTTTGGAATCTTAAGACACACCAGAACACATAATATTTACAAAGAAACTTTTACAGATACATTAATTGAAAAGATACCATCCAGAAATGTATTTTTGAAACCGTTTCTTGCCAATTGATCAGAATGCAAGATGACATGTTAAACAGCCCGTTTAGCTGTCTTAATGTCCATAAACTAGGTATTCCAGAAACCTCTGCTAAACCATTAACCAAATATCAACATTAGTGAAATGTAACTGCTGTGTAAAAAGTTAGGCTTCTGAAACATTAAAAATATTACATCCCTGTCTGCCTTTTTATGTTAAGCACATTTGATCCCCTACAACTATTCCTATAGATCCTTAATGTAATTTTCTACATGTACATTTAAAAGGCAGAACAAGAGAACAGCTTTGTATACAGTGGGATTTGCTAGTAGGGAGAATGAGCACACTGCATTCCTGTTAACATTTTTATTTTTCCAAGGTAACAGGAATTGTATACAAATGACAGTAGACCCTTGCCTCTTTATTTTTATCTAAATAAAAGATAACTCAAGATGAATTCTCAAGAAAGAAAAAAAGCTATGTACATAAAGGACTATATTTTCCTTCATCGTCTACTTGGAACCAGTAGTTGTGTTGCTGTCATAGAATCAGGGAAGAGGTTGTGATAAGTTGGAAGAGGTACATATGCTGCTGTTATCATTTTACCTGTTGAAAGAAACAGATAGGATGGTTAGCATCTTCACTTAGACCGTCAAAAAAAAAAATTACTCAGAAAAAGGTCAAACTCACCCGCAAACCACCTGCCATGCAACGCATTGACAGCAGCAATGGCTGCAGCAATTGATGGGCACTTCACATACACATTGCCCTAAAATACAACAAAAAATATTTAACGTGCTGTGATATATACAACATGGATACCAACAGGATTATTCAAATTGACTGTACAAAAACTGCTCTATAACCATATAATTATAGCTCCACTAGCTAACATGTACCTAGAAATTTACTGAAAATAATTTATTATCCACAAAACTAGCCATGTTACTATCTTCTATGATTTGAAAGCAGCTGAAGGAAAGCCAGGTACCAGATTTCATGGCAAGCTTTGAATACGAACCAGCAACATTACGTGATGACCTGATCTAATCTTCAACTATTTGAAAACTTTTTACTGTGGAGTGAGTATATTTAGTCAGTATGTTTTCAGGATACTAGTGAGCTTCTTTAAGGAAAAACCACAACCCAAGTATGTTTGAAAATTAAGACACAGAAAGTAACAGTCAAAATACCTGAGCTGAATTTTTGTCAACATAAATATGAATAACTCCTCCATGTTTGTTACATTCTTCAATCACATCATCTTTAATCTCTGTATCCCATCCAACTTCTTCTTCTCTGTAACAAAGTATTAAGTTCATTAGACACTCATGAAATGATACAATATATATTCTAATCTATTTTTTAAAAATCTATTTTAAAAATCATGGGCCTTTTGAAATGGTTAACTGACATCTTTTGAAAGATACCAAGCTTATCATCATTTCATAGGATCAGGAACACTATCCTGTTAATACAAATAAACTTCACAGAAAAACTACTAGGTATAGATGGAAAACAAAATCTGCTAAGTTTTCAGCTGAATTCCAACCTTACTAACACATTCAAGGGAATAATTAAATAATTAGTAATGTGCATAAAAATAACAGTTAAATGGTCAGAATTGTAGCAATACTTGAACTATGAAATATGTTGAAACATCTTAAGTATTAACTCAGACAAGTTAAAGATAATTTAAGACCCTTTGAACTCGACCAAAGTAAATTACTTACGTTTGAGGATTAAACATGTTAGAGAGTTGGAAACACTGTGTTGCCAGAGGTTGAACAGAGGCAGCTGCAGCTAATGCTGAAGCTAAAAAAAAAAACCCAAAAAACAGAAATTAGTTTCATGGAAAATGCATCAGAGTATATCCCTATGAATAAAACAAAACCAAATATAACCACTGGGCCCAAGTGAAAATAGGGCCATCAGTTCATTTACTAATTCCCCCTATTTGATAATGCTATCAAATATCAACATATGTAACAATATTCTATTTTAGTTGCCAGAAAGCAGAGGCAACTTCGTATTTGAGATAATTGATCTTGAATAAACTGGGAGATTTATCTTTATAAAGGGAAATTAAACCTCAAGTGTAGCCAATATTCATTCCGTTAGACAAATATCAATACAGTTCAACGAAATAGTACTGAATTTGTAGGATTACTAAGAGTTCATACTCAGGGGGTGATGAAAACACAATCTTTAAAATCCTGACTAACTCTAAATAAAAATCTTGTTAGGTTATCTGCCCATGAATATACAGTCACATATTTTCTTATAAATATACAACCATTATAAAAAAGGATGATGTTTTAAAAATAATATACATAAAAATCATCCAAGTATTTAAAAATTATTAAAGATTTAATATCCTAGGACTATAAAACCTACCACAACAAAGTCTCACAGTCTAGTTTTTAAAATACTTGAAACAGTAAAAAGAGTAACATGTATCTATAATAGTCACTGTTGAAAATTAAAACCGATACTAATATTTAGGAGCAAATTTAAACCAATATTGATTTTAATTTGAAATGACAGCATTTTCCACGACATTTGCTCCACTGCTTTTACGTGACTTAAAAAGCATTACCAGTAGCTGATACAGAACTCACCGTAATCATAATATTTGATCAAATTGCATTCCAATACATAACAACAATAAACAAAGCTATGGATAAAACAGTACATTAGAAATTATGGTACTTAAAATGAACAATAACCTGAGAAGTATCAGAAATATTCCATTGAATAAAAATTAGGGCTGTGCATGAATACATCATAAAAAAGATTTCTGGTAGAATAACAAGTGCTTTTTCACTTCTTTATAGTTTATTTTGATAAACAAGTATTAGTCTTTCATAAAACTATGAAAATAAAAATGCTGAAATAAGTAACATCAAATTCTACTGGAGAAATTTAAAGATGC